TGTCAAAAGAAATTGATAATTCAAAGAATTATTCTGAATTTCAAGAAACGTTTTCTAAAAGACATACTATAATATTTCGATCTAACCCGGCAATTACTTCTTCAAAATTCACGCTCATGTCGTAAAAATATTGTAACAAACATGTTCAACTGAACTGTGTTTGGCACTGGATCAACTCATAAACTAACTTATAGACTGAAAAGTAGGATGATTTTGTTGTCTTAAGGAAATACATATGGAAAACATCACAAACTCACATAGCTACAGGAAAATTCGTAGCTTTGTACTTACCTAGCTCATCTATGGATCTCAGAGTTTTTCTTTGAAGCATATATAGGAGACTTGTATACTAATTCACACGTCCATGCAACCTTTGCTTGGCCCTGTCTGCTCATGCAGGTTAGAGTTATTTTTTCATGCATAAATGATGTCGGGATTTTTTCTTATCAGACACTCCAATTGGGCTCTTGTCCTCGCCGCGAAGTCTCACCCAGTTGGCACTGCAGTTGAAGCATATAAAAGCCAAAACTTGTATGTAAATATATGTTAAGTAAAAGGAAGTGATTCCCACAACCCATGTTTTCTAACATATTTATGGGCATCCAAGATATTATGTCTGTCCATCAAGAAGATATGCATGGACAGATATCTTCATAGGCCGGAGCAGCAGCAATAACAGAAGGATTGTTGAACGGATACGTTACTGATGCAACGTATCACCAATTAGGGAGAATTATAAGACGTGCAAAGTGCTAGTCTGCTACTTACTTTCATCCATCCCTGCATGCTGCTGCTGCTGCATCCTGCATGAAAAGCCATCACCTCACCAGGATGTAGTTCACGCTCTTCTACATCTCATAGCAAGGTTAGAACATGAAAATTGGGATCAACGCTCTTCTACCTGCTTGGGAAGTATATGAGAAAAAGGAAAGCTGGAACAACGTTCAGAGTCACAGGCCACTCCACACTACACCAAGCACACGACTCTATCTCTGATTCACAATGTTGTGTGAACCTCGACCTCGATCAACATACCTTGGTGGTGCCATTGATAGGCGATGGAGTGGTAAACCGGCGAGACGCTTCTTCCTGCGCCAGCCAGCGGCTCCCGGAACACCTTAAGCACTGCACCATGACGAACAGCGAGAACATACGTCTGCAACTGCCAATGAAGGGAGCAATGAGTGGAGGATGATCGATGCATGGGGTTGGGAGGCGGTGACCTACTGATGATCGGTGCCAGTAGAGAAGAGCCTGATCACGGTTGACGGACGCGCTAGGCGGGAGCGGGAGAGTCCAGCGGGGGCGGCGCTGAGCGGAGGAGACGGTCGGCGGACAAATCTCATGGGGTGAACGGGTACTGGTAGAGCTCGATCTGGAGTGAAGTCCAGCGGGCGTTCTTGGGACCTTTGCCGCCATTGCGATCTATATATCACAAGAGACGATCCAGCTCTCTGGAGCCGATCGAGTCGAGGAGGACGTGAGCAAGGTAACAAACATACGCATCGTGACAGATCAAGGAAGTCATGCACACGACCTCGGGCAACACCGTGGCCGATCTCGATCGGGAGGAAGACCAAGGACGCCCATCGTGCTTCCTCGAACTCGGCGCTGCTCTTCCTCGATGCGAGGTCTCGGCGTCTCGCCTAGGTATAGGAGAGCACGTGATCCCGGGCATCATATATATGGGAGGGTTAGGAAGGTTCAACTGGAAGTCCTGATCGTGAGTTTCTTTGTTTTCTTATTTAATTGGTTTTCTAGTAGTAGTACATGACTTTGACACGACACGTACGTTTTATTGAACCAAATTCGTGCAATGAAGAAAACAAAAAAAGGAATAAGGAATAAGAACCGCGACCGGGGAAAGAATAAAAGAAGGTAACATGTATTTATGCACAAATGAGTTAGTGTCCTAGTGGTTAGTGCACCTGCGGTCTCCGCGAAGAGATCCTGAGTTCGAACCCTTCTGACGTATTAATCACCTTTTTTACTTGGGTTTGAAAAATATAAAAGAAAAACGGGCCGGCCCAATTACAAGCGCGCCAGTTGGCGAACCGGCGCAGAATTCGCCTCGTTGAATTACCGAGACAGAAATTTAGTACCACCTTGAATATGTTTCAAATTTAAACTGAAAGCGTAAATTCACGGAAAGAAAGCGTATTGTGACGGTGAACCCACGGAGTCAATCCGTGCATTATATATTATTATTATTATTATTATTATTATTAGGGATAGAAAACTAGCAAAAGAGTCCGTGCGTTGCAACGGGATAAAAAGAGCCCTTAGGTCATTTGTTCACCTTCAAATCAAGGTCACCTTGTGACTGCTCAATTGTATATACTCCCTCCATCCATCTATATAGGGCCTAATGCATTTTTGATGTAACTTTGACCGCATGTTAGAGCCAAAATATATGATTATGCAAGTTATAGACAAAGCATACTCTCAAATTTAAACTGAAAGCGTAAATTCACGGAAAGAAAGCGTATTGTGACGGTGAACCCACGGAGTCAATCCGTGCATTATATATTATTATTATTATTATTATTATTATTATTAGGGATAGAAAACTAGCAAAAGAGTCCGTGCGTTGCAACGGGATAAAAAGAGCCCTTAGGTCATTTGTTCACCTTCAAATCAAGGTCACCTTGTGACTGCTCAATTGTATATACTCCCTCCATCCATCTATATAGGGCCTAATGCATTTTTGATGTAACTTTGACCGCATGTTAGAGCCAAAATATATGATTATGCAAGTTATAGACAAAGCATACTCTCAAATACGTACATGAAAGGTGCTTCCAATGATATAATTTTGACATTATACATCTCATATACAATTAATCTTAATAGTCAAAGACAATCTCGAAAAATGCATTAGGCCCTATATATGTGTGGATGGAGGGGGTAGCAGGTTTGCATTAAATATTAATTTGTCAACAATTTCTGGTATAGTTTTTCTTCTTGAAACTATAGGTGATAAAGATGTTAAATCGCTGAGAAAGGCATAATTGAGGATAAAAAAATCATAGAACCAGACATCAAAAAATGACAATCACCATCGAGTAATCACTGTGCAAGAAAGAGCAGCTAACTACCCTTGTTGTATGTAATACAATGCATCAAGCCACTTAATATTTTTATGCATCATAATATCAATATAAGCCTATTAACAATTTGCATCCGTGGTCAACAAACAACACAATGAATTACTATAGGGCATCCTCGTTAAAAACAGTCAACATGGAAAGATTGCTCCACTGATCATGCATATATAAAAAAAAACCTCTTGGGCTCTCTCACCTGTATGGAGTGGATCGAGTTAATATAAGAATTCATCTTAACTGGCCACGTGGGTTTCTCTGCTACTTCAGCATGGTGTCTTTGATGATCCGCCATGTATGATTTATCTTGTGCAGTGCAATTTTTTGACCGAAAAGTGAAGAAAATATATAGTAGTCCGTACATTGACGCATGCATAGATCTCTGATCATAATTATCACGCATAAAGGTTTTACCAATGCATGGCTATTGTGTATGCACTTGTTTCGCAGGACTCCATTGCTCCATAACGTGCGTGACCTTCTGCAAGTAGGCCATCCTGGTCGCGTCCACTGACATGTTGAGGCTTGCAGCATCAGCTCGTTCAGCTCATGTTAGAGCCTAAAGGCATACCCGATCAGTTTGGCGAGGAAGGCTGCCTCGTGCCCAACGTGGCCTCGAGGGTGGCGACCTTATTTACCACAGAGTGCCGAGATCTCCTGCACACAGCGATGCAGGACGCCGAAGCCTCCTCGAGCTCGGACAGCTAGATGGCGAGGCGAGCGGGGGGGCGGGGGGAGTCGAAGGAGTACTTGTCGGGGGAATAATCGCCTCGAGTGTATCCTTGTGATGGTGACAGTGGCAACGGCGGAAGAGAGAGCTCACCGGATTCCGTGGTGACGGATGAGGCCGTGCCGCTGTGCAAGTTTGCATCGGCTAGGCCGGTAAGGTCGCACGCATGCATACATGTATGTTCATAGGTCATGCATGCATCGGTATGCTTGCTCTAGCCAGCTACCCGACCTGGATGGCGAATCGATGGCTTCTTGTTTCTCCTCCACTCCTGCAGAAGGGACCAATGGAAGCATAATTCCTCCCCCAGCCGTGCCACCTCTCGCGACCTTCTCATCGATCCCCTCCTTCCTGATTGGACGACATCTCCCCGAAGTGCGACTGGTGGAAGGCGTGAGAGGGGCCGATGATCTTGTGATTGGGGCTCGTACGGAGGTGGCGGATCGCATCGTGAGCACATGAGTTATCCGGGACAGCGCGAGTCATGGAGGCGAGGACGGATCGCAGGCGAGGCCTGCCATATGCTCAGAATTCTCGGTCATATAGTTGGTTTTCTCCCCTGGCTGAAGTAATATATAAGTATGTGAGGGCAAGAGTTTGGATGCCGAACACTTCGATCTTGACCTCGGATCTGGAAAAAGGGATGTGCGGGGCGACGGAAAAAGAGGCAAGCGATTTTGTACTACAAAACGAACAACGTCGCTGGCTGCTTAGTCATGCGATCAGCCGTGGCTCCTAATTAACTGGGCCGGCCCATACGTAGCGATTGATTTCCGGAAACCAAGCACACGACGTATGAAGCGAAGATAAGGAGGCCGGCCACGAAGTTTGCGATGGTGGATAGTACCACCTCGGATGTAGAAAATAATATAGGTAAAAAAAACTGAAAGCGTAAATTCACGGAAAGAAGCGTATTATGACGGTGAACCCACAGAATCAATCCGTGCTTTATTATTAGGGATATATATATATATATATATATATATATATATATATATATATATATATATATATATATATATACTAGCACATATGCCCGTGCGTTGCAACGGGAGATAAAAATGTAGTGTCACCAGAGCACCTGATATATGTCACAAAAACTATCTCAACTTAAGGTGCATTTCTTTCACAAAATAATGAAGTGTGATCTATCTTACTGTCTTGAATCAACGTTCACTTTGAATTGAACTCTGTATAAGTGTAGCTAAACTGTTTGAAACAATGAAAATGCAGTCTGATATTGAATTGTTCTTGCAGAAGTAAAGTTCATGCTTTTTGAACAAACAACAGCTGATGATTTCTACTATACGTTGGGCACAAGAAACAATTTTCCCCTCTCCTATGAGCCGTCTCCCACTTTTGGCAACAGTTTTTGGCTGGAAAAAAAATACTAAAACAAAGACCATTACATCCAAATATCCATTTCTGAGCCCGGGCTCATCGGCCCCCTGTGAAAAGTAAATTAGAAAAAATACTAAAGAATAAAAAGAGCCAAGTTTTTTTTGCATGGAAGATGCTTTAGTGCATGAGGTAGTACAATACATTACTTGTGGTAGTGGTAGCGGCACAAGGATGCGATGAACAGATAGATCTCCACTTAATCTTGATGCTGAATCCACCACCTCGTCTTTTGTGCAGCTCTAACGCAACTCCGACAACAAAGATTTTATCCCATCTTCCTCACAACCCTTCAGTTTAAATCCCACATGGGATTGAGAGTCCCTTCTATCGCCTACCAATACAATAGCTAATCCAGGAACATGTGCAACTGCCTTTTTCATTCGACGAAATTGTTCAGCAATCAGTAACTTTATGTCCTCTGCAATTGACTTGCCATCAATAATGGTGCCCTGGATGCGCAATCAACTTTTAAGCAATAAAAGTGCAACTCAGAGTCACAGATCATTAGCATGAGATTCAGAACTACACTGGGAAACAACCGTGAATTCAACATATGCTTGTCATGGATGGTACGCTTGCTTTTAATCTATATACTACACATCACAATATGCATCATACCAGTTGATCAGATATGTGAGGCTTGACATCAAAATTCTACATACTATTAATCTAAGATCATCTTAAGAACTGGTTGAAAAATAAACTAAAAGGACAATTACCGAGTTTTTTACCATACAGGGAGGCTTGCAGTACTTTGTGCCACGTTGTTCTATAGAGAGCATGAAGGAAGGGGAGCAAATCAAACAAATATATATACAAACAAAGGAGCAATTATTGTACGGATACATATTGTTCAGTCAAGAAAATCATTCAGAATTTCCCAACCCTACCGAACAAAGTTATAGGCCAAACCTCATGCTATTCGTCGTGCAAAGCTATAACTACATTATCACACCCTTTTTTCTACCATCTTGTATATGCACTGAACCAAGTGCAGTACTTGCCCCTCCAACGTCTCATCAGTGCAGACCACACATTGCATACATGTCATCTTCAAACCATAAAGTCTGTAGTATGGCAGGAAGTTTTACAATTAGGATATGTAATTATACAAACAACGACTGGGCAGGCAAGTACATGTTGATCGATAATTCAAATTGTTATAAGCTAGAAAAACATCTATTCAGTAGCAGCAGGGAACATACTGATAGTTCGGATCACCATATGTTTAAAATGTGCATTATTCATCCTCACTTCAAGTCGTCTAAACCTGGTAGCAAGTCCAGATACATTGGTTCATATTGTGGCACTGCCCTGACCTTGTAAAATAATTTTCTACTTTCATGACTCATAACTCATGACCGTGAAAGGTAAAATCAGTAATTACAATTATATGGCACTCCTTTCGGTGCATTCAGAGAGAAAGGGGGCGAGAGTAGCTACCCCCCAGTATTAACCAAATAAATACGCAATAAGATATCCTCTAATAACATACTCCATCCGTCCGAAAATATTTGTCATCAAAATAGATAACAAAGGATGTATCTAGAATTAAAATACGTCTAACTAATGTATATGGACACAAAACACACTCTTCAGACAAAAATCTTGTTCCTGGACCATTCAAAGTGTATTTGAAAGACATACATATCAGTGGACTCCCACGTCCATATGTATCTTAAATTTTTGAAGCCTAAGATGTGGTAGTACCTGCTTTTGTTAGACAGCTCCATATTTTGGATCTGATTGCAAGCTCCATATGCATCAGCCTAGTAAAGGTATCTGGGTGATTGGTTCATATCTCCAGACCTGATAAACACAAGCGGTGAAAGGATGAGAAAATTGTGAATCAACCAAACATTTGCACAGTTAGATTATAAATAAATTGGACAACAAATATTTGAACAATCTGGCTAACCCATAAAACTGACAAATCTAAGCTGGAACTGCAAGCTAAGCTGAGACAATCAAAAGTGTGAAGATGGACTGATGAAGGTAAAGTAACCACTTGAGTAAGAAAAGAATAAAGCAACAGGGACAACAACGATGCCGCTCTACAATCGTCTCTCTAATTCCATTCCCCTAGCTTGCCCTCTCATCTCCTTGCACATCAACCAGAACATCTGACCAAGATCAGAGAGAAGCAGTGGTGGGAGGGCAATGCAAGGTGATGAGCTGCGGCACGATCGATCAAGCATCGCTGTACTGACGGCGAGGGAGCTCCGCGGTGAAACCACCTATCAGCCGTACCTTGATAAGGACCGGAAGAAGCCTTCGGTTCAGGGTCCGAAGAAGAATACATGTACATGGAAGGTGGAGCATAGGGTGGTGTCTACTCTTTTGCGATTTATTGCCTCATGGCAAGGGATTAAGAAGGATGTGAAACCATTGACCACAACAAAGGCGAACAAAGAAATCAGCCATCAACCTTATCCTCTCCAACCACGTTGGGTGTCCCATGGTGCCGAGTGCAGCTGCCGTCCCCCTTATCCTCTCCAACAACTGAACCCCGCGATGCCCAGCCGCTATCTCACTCCTATTCCCGAACAGCCGCCGTTGCGCTCCTGCTCCTGAACGGTCGTCGTCGCTGGACTGTGCTCCAAGTCACCGCCGCCACCGCCACCTGACTGCTCTCTCCTTGTCAACCCCCTCTCACTCGATCTCAATCTAGAAGCCCCCCTCAAAATCAGCACCCAAGGAATTGGTAGTATCAAACCAGCCAAGTCCCTTTGAAATCCGGGTTGGGCACTCCATGAATTTGTGTTCAGAAGGACACCAACGTCCAGTGGGCATCCCCAACGTGTCCCATCGCAGCCTCCCCCTCCTCCTCCCTTCCTCCCTCTCTCCCTCCACCGTCTTCTCCTTCAATCACCGCATCCCCGGCGACCCCAAGAATCCGAGGCGTGATCCCCCCAAATCACACCCCATCTCCCTCGCCCAAAATCCCAACGAATCTCCACATCATGGGATGCAAGAATCATGAATCCCCAAGTATATTCATCAACAATCCGGGAAGAAACCCCTGTCCGCGGTGGTCCGACCATGGACACAGATCTGCAGCTCCCCATCACCGTGACATAGCCCCTGCACCCGCTGCCGGACCCCACCACCCGCCGCCGCTGCTCCCAACGCCGCCACCGCCGCCGAACCACTACCACCGCGACCTCGATCCAAATCAGAGGCACGGGAGCAGGAAGAACGGCCGCCGGCGACGGATGGCCGGAGAAGAAGACCGCCGGCGGCGCCCTACCCGGACGGATCGAGCGAACCCGCGCTCGTGTGTTGGCCTCCAAGCCGATGCTCGACCCGGCACGGGGGAGGGGCTGGCCCCGAGGAGCGGGGAGCCGGCGAATCTGCCGGCCAGGTGCTGGGCGCCGCGCTCCATCATCGCCGTCGTTTGTGGAGGGGCGCGGTCCCGGTCGAGGCGGCGCGGGGCAGGAGGTGGCGGCGGGATGGAGGTGGAGATGAGATCGAGGAGGCAGGATCGTGCGGGGCGCTGGGCTTTTTTTCTTCTTTTCTCTCCTCTGTACCGGTTCGGGTCTGACTTATGAGGGGACTGTAGGTGCAATTTCTAGAAAGTAGGAGGGTCTATTTGCAAAAAGGGCGCGACGGTGAACCCGCCAGGCATATAGGACAACACTATTTTAATCCCAGAATTAGAATAGTTATTTGGATCACAGCTGCCTATATAGCAGCGACCGGGTTGTTCCAAACTCCTGAACCAGTACAACCCTGTAAAAAAACACCCCAGGCCTGGTCAACCTCCCACCCCGACCCCACGATTCCTACCTTCTCGCATCCCCGCCGCCGCCCTCGCCCCGCCCAACGCCGACGCCGCCTCCTCCCCGACCACCGGTGCCTCCCCAGATCCGCCGGAATCACGCGGCGGCCAGCTCCCCCGCCAGGGATCCGCTGGGGACAGCGGCGGCCCGATTCCCTCTCGCGGCCAACCACCTCCCGCTCCTCCCTTCACTTTCGCGGCTGCCGGCGGCCTTCCATCCGTGCTGGAGTCACCCCGCGCCTGGGTCCGGCCGCCGCGTCGCCCCATGCCTGGGTCCGGCGGCCGCGCTGCACACCCCCCTCGATCCAAGCACACGAGCGCCGGCCTCCACCGGCAGCCCCCAGGCACGCCGCCCAGCGGCCCACGGCCCCATCGCCCGACACCGTCCTCCCTAGCTGTCTCGCCTTGGACGTCTTCCCTTTTCTACCTAGAACTTCTCCAACCTCTTGCCTCGTCGTCTTGGCGTTCGTCTTGCTAGCCAGTCCATCTTGCAGGTGAACCAGAAGGTGCAGGTGCAGAGCTACCCCCGTGCAGAAACGGAGGAGGAAAAACGATAAAAAAGGGTTGGCAGATCCAGTCGAGCAAGCTGTGGAAGAACAGCTCTGTATTTGTATTTGTTTGATGTATTTGTTGGCCTCCTCCCTCTTGTTCTGTCCTTCAACGATCCATCCGGGGATGCGTCGTCAGTAAGGACAACGACACTTCTTGCAGCAAAAACTGCAGCATTTCTTCAGTATATTTCCAAAAAATATTTGCAGGAGTTCTCCTCTATCAGTTCAACAAAATAAACTGACAGCAGTTCGACAGATCCACGCCTGAAAGGAAGACTTCGTATGAGCACCTGCCGCCGATCATCGACCATGTTCCCAGATCGCCATCCCGCCAGTGCCTCATCGTCAATGAGGCCGCCCCTTCTCTAGCATGCAGCACCTTCCTGAAGGTGTGCGTGTGTGATGCTGCGTGCCGTGGTGGTGAGCATGGCGTGGGCTTGCACCTATTGTGCATGCGTGCTGGCGCGTTGTGCGCTCCCTGTGTGTTGTGTATGCGAGTGGTGCGCGTGCATGTAACGGCTCGGTGTGCTTCCGTAGGTAGCCTGTGTGATTGCTAGTGCCTAGTGCTACTACTGTTGACGCTTTTCCTTGGAACGTACTTGTGTATTTCTTTCTCTGAGTTTGCCTATTTGACCAATTGAATGATATGGTGTGGATAAATTATACTTTGTGGATGTCCGACATTAAAACACTTCCCCTAATTTTGAAGTAAAAACATTTGAGAATTTTTTTGGCCATGAAAGTTCAAATGTCGTCGTATGCTAAAGTTTAGATGTTCGCTAAATAGCCAGTTGACATAGTATAGAAGCTG